AAAAAAACAAAAGACGGGGGGGGGGGGGGTGAGGGGGTTTAATAGAATCGATAAAAAGTTCAACGCTTTTGAAACAATGAAGTAGTATCAAAGATTTTACGAGTACAAACGAAGAGTCAAGGCAAAAGAACATAAGATACTTTTATATCGGTTTGCCTAAACCAACAAGATACGAGTATTCTTTCAAAAGTCACTTCTAGTTCAACCTAAGAATTCTTTGACTTTCCTCTTCAAGCAACTACCCAATGTTCTTTGAACAATGAAGTCTCTCCAAATTTCAATAGTCAAGTATTCCTTAACAACAAAGTCTCTCCTCACTCCAATAACCAAGTATTTTTTACAACAAACTTCTTTAGGCTTTAAGTAACAATACAAAGTTAAAACTGGGAAATCACTTGTTGTTTTGTCTTATTGTTAAGATGTGATAGAACCAATTAAGTACAAAGCTTTTTACAAAGAGAATGACGATAAAATTTTAACAATAATTTTTCTCATTGTTTTTTCTAAATCTTCAAACTTATTTATATAGGTGCTTGATGACAGAGTGCCTATCATTAAACCTATCACAAGGACAATGTCAAGGAGGATACAAGAAGAGTGGACTCATGATGAAGATAAAAGGCCTAAGCTATTATTGGACTATAAGCTTATCTCCTAGCCTTTTCTCTTTTATTATAATTTCTACCTTGTATATATTTTCCTTATTTTTGGACCTTTAATTTTGGTCATATAGTGTAGGTATTTTTGTTCTTATATTGTTTTTAATTTGAGGGTGTAAATAGTAGTTTCTGAGGGATGCAACTAAAAAAGATCCATTAATGGCTATTCGACATGGATGGGTTGGTTTGCTCATTTTTGGCTCATGACTTGGACGTCCACTTGCTTGTGCAAGTGGCTTGGATGTCCGAGACATGTGGGGACCACTTGACCCCTTGTCCATCCAAGTAGGTCAATAGGCCACATGGCCTTGTCTAGTCACACCAAGTTTGAGTTCAAGTTAAGCTAACCTAGGTTATTTTTAACCTAGGTTAGCTTAGCTTACTCTACAATTTATTAACCCCTATATATACTTATTTCATCTTGTATTCATGTCACTTTTGAGATTTCTATGAGAAGCTTAGTGCATTTTCTCTCCTCCAAAAGTCTATAGTTATTTTCATAGGAGAAATTTCTCCTTAAGTTCTTTTATTAAGGAATTCTCCTTGTGGCAAGAACCTTCTTGTTTATCTTTCTACAAGGAAGTGGCACGCCATTCCTCTCCTCCACCATTTTTTAGTTGTTTAAAGCTTCAAGAATCCATGGAAGAAGATTGGGAGCACTACTAAAAGTTATTTGGAGTGAAACATTATGGAAAAAAGATAGTCACTTGAATGGGTGGGTTGAATAGTGAATATCAAAAACTCACTTTTTGTAAGAGAGTAAAGAAGTATCTACAACAGGCAAAGTGTTGGAAGAGTAATCAAAAGAATAGTGAAAAATTATACTAATTCATCTCAAACACAAAAACTACGTCCAGTTCCCAATCCAACCAGATTGAGTTCCATTAACTTTCTCAAATCTACAAGTATTCTTTCCCAAATTGTTTCTTGCTTAGCAATAAGTGTTCTTTGAGTGACCTCTTTAATCTATTACCCAAGTATTCTTTCACCAACAAGCCTCTCCAGACTTAACCTAAGTATTCTTTTAACAATAAGCTTCTCCATGCTCTACTTATGTATTCTTTTATCAATAAACCTCTTTAGGCTCAACCTTATAACAATAGTTATAAAGGTTACTCAAATGTTGTGTTCATCTCACTTTAATGTTATACAACCGATTACAGAGCAATGAATGTATACAAGAAAGAATGGATTTTTCAAAAAATGTTTTTGTACAAATGAATCTATACATGCTTATTATTTATGCTTTCGTGTGCTTTGTATCTATATATGTTTGTTCTTTATGCTTTCTGTACAAATATATTTTTTTGTCTTCATCATCTTCCTTTATGGTGGCAAGTAATTGTTTGACACATTTAATGCGAGCATTAAATGCATTTTACCAAATAGTACCTCTTATATTATTAAGGAGACTATTTATCAACTTTTCATACCAAACAGAGCTTGTAGAAGCAATGATAGTGCAAAGCAACTATAATAATGACTTTATCTATTTTTATCTATGATTTTAGGGATTTGGCTCTGAAGGAAAGCATGGTTCTACTCTTTAACAATTTTGTGAGTTTTGAGATGATTTTTTTATTTGATCTATTAAGGAATGAAATATTCAAAGTGAACTTTATCATTAGTCTCAACAAATGATAAATAGGTAACGTATATGAAACAGACTATATGTTTTATCATATTAACAATTGTATTACAAATTATCTGTGTCTATTAGATGGGCCATCGACCTCTCATTCCTATATCTATTACAAATGATTTGAGAGGTCGCTGAACGTTCTACTTCCTATATCTATTAGAGTAGAGTTAGCCCGTCTTTGCGATAGGTGATTTGGAAAGCGATGAGCCCATCTTAAAGGGATGGGTCACTCTCCTTTAAAGGTGTCCCTGTTGCACTATAAGGATGGCATATGATTAACTAGCGTTGGAGAGAGAGTTTGATGGAATAACACTAAGGCCAAGAAGACCAAGAGG